ATGATTCTATGATTAAGATCTAATTAAATTAACTGACTTTTCACTTTAACCTGCAAAAACAATGGTTAAACAAAAGTAGTATTCCAGGTGGAAATAAGCTGAATGAGGCATCTAAAAGACTCAGCTACTGATAAGGAATTAACAAGGAATACAGCAAGTAGTTAAACTATAGTGATGTTTCTACAGTTTCAAACCGTTTAAGAGAATTATAAGCTCAATCCTGTTCCTGCAGTTTTATTATTAATGTCAAAAGACAGTATGATCAAGTACTAAACCTAAGAAAGGGCAGACATTTACATTATTTACAGAGGCAGTTAGTGTAATATATTATTTTAAACTCTTCTCTAGTCTCAAGTTTCAAAATATATAAAACACTAAATAACAATGTCAAAACTAACTGGTAAAAAACACCCTTGAATAGTTTGAGGTACTTGAGAACACTAGTACCACTAACAATTTCTGTGAAGCTACGATCTAAAAGTTGATGTTCGAATTACTTCATCTCGTCTTCATGTATTTCTCTCAGAGACAAATGCATTGTGACTGTACGACCCAGAGCTACAGGGAGTATATGTGAATGTATCACTAACCTGAGCATAGGCTTATCTGAAATTGATGTCAGTTGTATTTTTTTATATATTTAAGAGCTCAGAAATCCAGTTGCTGTTCTTATACTTCCATCATAATGGGCAAGACTAAATTCCATTAAAGGGACAACTGAAACAAAATTACCCTTGCTACTCTTTTCACTTAAAGCCAAAACAGGAAGGGGTTCTCAAGGCTCTGACAAATATATTGAAGACAAAACATACTCTTTCTAAATGAGGGCCTCCTACTTTGTATTTACATGAAGTCTCATGCTAAAAGGCACATTACAGTGCAGGCACATTTAAACTGTCACCAGGAAGCAAGTTATTTTGAGAAATACATGCTTCTTTTTGCATTTATTTTTCAGTTCAACATAATGGTTTGAAGAGTAGATTCAAATTTTCACATTAAAAGTCACTCTCCACTCCCTCAGAATGAATTCCAACTTTTATTTCAGTCCTCTCTACATTACTGCAGTTTAGCAAGTTACTTAAGGATGTATTTGACTACTTTCTCACACCTGTTTGTTTTTACTTCTGTTTGATTCCTTTCAATCAAACATTTCCTATCCTTTACTGTCCTTTTGTCACTGCCTTCTGACTAGTTCAATTATCCAAAAAGAGATTTAAATGGCATTTGACCACTCATGTCAACATTTTATTGCCTCCACTATCCATCATTAGTGATATGAACACAGATAATTGAATCATCCAATGGCTTAAATAACGACTTTCCCCAAAACTCAACAACTGTTTTCTGTTCTTTTGCATCAACTGACAAATATTCCCAGGTCATTTAGCAAGGTCAGTGACAAAATGGCTTTATTTAAAAGACATAAAGACATTGTTATAAGTCATATGGATAATTCAAGAAGTTTTACTAATACTCATTTGTTACAAAATCACATACCGGGTATTTCCTAACAAGTACTGGATTAGCCCAGAGATAGTATTCTTCTACCAGGTTTCTAGGGGATGGTAGCTAGAGTGCTATCCTTTATGTAGTACTGAACCCCACCACTTCAAGTCATTCATACCACACTTCTTTCATCATTGTAGAATAATACAGACTCATGCTCACTATTTGGCAGTTTTGTCTATCTACTGCATCGATAGAAATGGAAGCAAGGCTCTCCTATACGGATAACCTGGATATAAATATGAACTTAAAAATCCCATGAATATAAAGATGTACTGCAGCTGGTAACAGACTATCTTCTAAGTCACGGGACAGAACAGCCACCCTTGATGTATAAACTTACTATGCATTTTTAAGACATATTTCTATTTGCATCTATTTTATCATATCTTCTTCCCTATTCTTGCCATCTCCATGGTTATCAGAGTCCATCTTTACCAGTTCTTTCAGGTGCATCCCTTAAGAAGTCAGCAAAGAACACATCAATTTCAGGATCCAGCAAAGCTTTTGTTTCTTCAAATTCCTCCTGAACGAGTTTTGCCACAGCTGTGTCAAACCATTTTACATCTTCTGAGGTTGTGAAACGATCAGCAATAACACACTTACATTCATGCTTCCATAGTTTTAGCAGTACCTATATTTAAAAAAAAAAAAAAAGCACATTTCAGTCAGATTAGGCTTGTAACAAAGCTATGCGAATTTAAAAGCCATGCTTTTTTTTATTTTAAAATTATATTAACACTAGAAAAGAAACAGTAGTATTTTTGGTTTATTCAGGAGAGATACCTTGAGCTTCTCATTCTGCTCAATATCATTTTAAGCTTACATTCAGTTAACTGTGCAAGAAGCCTTAATCTAGCATTCCAAATCAGAGTGCATTTACAAAATTAAGATTTTATTTCCTTAGCCCTAAAACCATATCCATACCTGTTAACATGTTTATGCACTGACAAACCATTTTAACTGGTCATTAAGTAGAAGGTGGGTAGAAATAATAGCATCATGGCATGAATAATTTCAGGCCAAACACAGATGTCACTCCCAATACTATATCTAAAGTAGTTAAGAGAAAAAAATAATGTGTAACTGTTTATAGTATTTCTTCTCCAAATTCAATATACCTTTAAAGTCCTTCAGTTTGGTAACAGGAGGGAGAAGGAAAACCTGTCAGGTTCTTAATTCTAGCAGCACTGGGTTTAACCCTACACTATTACTACACAGTAGTAGAAAAAGTTAAAAGTACTCCTTGAAGACCTCTTGTTTGAGCCTACAGTACTTTGTATGAATGACACATACTATGTCAAGTCTCAGAACTAATATGTAAAATTATACAATCAGATTTCAAGCAACTGTTTGTTATACTTCAAAAGACATTGAGAATATATATAGATATAATCATCTTAGTGCTGTATATTTTTACCTTCAGAAATTAAACTCAATTCTAAAATTTAAATTTTAGATGTAGAAGAATTCAGGAGCTTATTCAACAAGCAGAGAAGTACACTAAACATTAAGTGATTATATAACCCAAAAAGTATAACAAATTTTCCATGATTACCACAAATATTGCTTTTCCAGCACTTCATGTTTCAGTGCTCAAATCACTAAATGACTTTTCCTTAAAACAATTAACAGAGAAATGATGCATAAAGCATTGAGCTTTTCTGGAAGACAGGTGGATTATTGAAAAAAAATATGACTATGACTCGTTACTGCTTCTTCCTTTTAAGCCATAAGCCAGATATTAGGAAGTGACTGAAAGCCTCAAGACACTAGTGGAGAGGGGGGAATTGTTTATTTTTTTAACCTATATATATTCATTTTCATTGGGTTAAAATAAGTTCATTGCTACTCATAATTTTCTTTGCTTGATTCTTTCAAAAAATTAGCATTTGTAATAGAACAGGTAGATAGAAGCAAACCTTCTGTCAAAAGCAGTATTTCTTGTTGTAGTTATGAAACAAAGATGTCATTTCAGTTGGTACTGTAAAAGCTGGACTAAAACATCTTTCCCTCCAAAAAAAAGGAGAAAAACTTCTTTAATTAGAAATTATATTTTCCTAAAGCAAACTCAAATGCCAAGAAGTTAGACTCTTCATTCTCTTTGCTACACTAATTATACACTAATAAGCCACTGACGTCCTGCACTTACCTTTGGTTCATTGATCACTTCTGATGTAGTGTTCAGCATTCCTTGCCAAATCCTTGAGAGGTCTCGAAGGTTGAAGACATAATGGAACTTGGCTGGTGTGGGCAACATTTTTAGCTTGGTAATCTGCCACAGCCTGCGTGTCAGTGGAACCAATTTGGATACTGTTTTCTTCACATCTTCTGAAAATCCCCGCTCACTACAATAGTGCCCTTCTCCAATTATACCTGTGAAAAAAAATTGACAAATGAAAGATTTTTCTAAGACACACTAGTGCAACACCAAGAGCTATGATCATCTTAAGTTTATTTTTCTTTTTTTAATTCCCAAAACCTTTTCTAATTTGTTGACATGGCTTTCCAGTCTTCAATCAAATCTTCATTCACCTGGTCTTAACACCATTCTGCCACCAGTTCACTGGGTATTTAGCTCTTAATTAACTGTGTGTTAAAAATGGGTTTTTTCTACCAAAATAGTTTCCACAGCCTTTCCATAGCTAATCTGTTCTCCAAGACCAATATGATCCTGTTGTTTGTGAAAGTCTAGTCATTAATCACTCATTCTTAGTACCAGTAGCACCTTAGCAACTCTCCAGCATTGTCACTAAAACCAGGTATGGCCTTCATGACATTCTTCCTAACACTTAGTATCCCAATAGATTCAGAGATGTGACTGGACCTGAAAAACTTACAGATTGTTGAAATTCCAGGTGGGGAGTGATTACTGAAGGAAAAATGCTGGTAAGCAAATCAGAGGGGGATTAAGCCTCAATTTTAATTATAATGTTTATAAATAGAGGGATGAAGAAAAATCAACTATAGTTTTTAAAAATGGAATGGATACAAAGCTAATTTCCCTTTACCAAAAATTTTGTCAATGGAAGAATTAGAAGGCAGAGTACAGTTGAATACAGAAAATTGTCTCTTCAGCCTCTGTGGAATATCATTGCGACCTCCCCCAGGGTGGATCATGGCAGCCAAAAACTGAATGTCCACAATGTTGGTAAATTCACCAGGCTTTTCCAGATTATACAGTCCATTCTGTTCCATCAGCTGCCTAACTATCTCATTAGTGACCTGTAAAATAACCAGGTATTATATACTAGAATATTATACACACAACTAAATTAAATACAAAACATATCTATGTACTTGAAAGACCTAATAAAGAATATATCGTTACTTTGTCTCCCAAACTTCTGCTTATTTGCTTCACGAGAAAAATGCACTGCTAGGAATAAACACATTTAGATCGTCCTTTTTATTGGTAATATCTATGGACAAAAATCCTAGGAGTAGAGGGGAATCCCTAGCTTAGAATCAATCCTTCATACTTCATTCTTGCTTGAATGCTGCACAATTTCCAATACTATTGTATTGGAAACACTTCTCCCTTTTAACACAAAATTTCCAGTTTGTTCTAATCGAGCCAAAACTGATACATCTTCACATGTTGCATTTGCTACCAAATATTTTGATGAAATTTCCATGTGTAACAATCACAACCACGGTTTTTCAATCTGCAACACAGAATTACTTCCATACAAAAGAATACAAGATTCCTTTGCTTAGTCATAAATAGACCCCCTGGCTTTTCTGTTTGACTAGATGAAAACATCCCACAGACAGTATATTATACGACTATACTTCTCTAGAAATTCTAACATTAGTTTCCAAAGCAATATACTTCAGAACAATCTTGCCAATGTACATAATGATTACTTGCATTTTTTTCTAAGCAGAGAAGTCACTTCTTACCTTTCCGCATTCACAATATTTTAATTATTGTCCACACAGCCAGTTTGCTATCACAATTTGTGTGCCAAAGGTTTTTTCTAATTAATTTTGATTAAAAATGACTGTTGCTAAAAAAAAATTGTTAAAATTATACAGGCATGTTCTAAGGAGTACTCAAACTGCTTCTTGTAGTCAATATATTTATTTTCATTCATGACAATATAAAATTAGACAGGTTCTTTAAAAAGACTGTTTAAAAATTAAGCTCTACATATCAAATTTACACCCTACTGCCTGATTGAGAAGAGAAGCCAGTTTTTCAGTGTAGCAATGAAAGAAAGAAAAGCTACTTTGCCTTCTCTTTTCCTCTTTTACAAACTAACCTGATCACCCCATTCGTTGATTATGGGCATATTCACATCATCAATGAAGACTGTCATCTTTTTGCCTGCAGGCGGACCATAAGTTGTGCCCATGCGCTTGTCCACATAACTTTCTATGGTACGCTGTTAAAAAGCAATTATTAGCACAGTTACAAAGACCCCTTCCTGTCATACATGATTCAATCATTTAAACACATTGATGGTTTTGTTACACAGACTTTTACTAAGGAAGGTTTAGACAAAACATCTGCTGGAGGTAATTGCACTAGTTCAACTACAATGTCTGAAATCTCATGCTAAACAGCATTAGGTTGGTATCAGATATAACAAATGTCTAGTGTAGACAATCATGTCTAACAGTTTCATAATTTTGAAACCATTTCGAACTTTTCTTTCATTTTATTCATTTATCAGTAAAATTGACAGCTACTAGCGATAAAGATTAAAAGTAATCATCTGCCAGATCTGAAAGATATGATTCTTGAAGACCTTTCTAGCAGACATCAATGTACTTCATAAAAGCATACAGAGATAACTAAACTCACATACATGAACAGATTTGATTAAGTAACTTTGCTTAACAGTAAACATATCACTACTTTTCTTCCCATCAACTTTCCATTGCTCCATTCTTCTTAAGGTCCAGTTTTTATTTACTCCATATCAAATGAAACCTCACTTACCCATGCATAGTTATTCTTTAGTGCAAATTTAAACATCCGCATTCTTACATTGTGCTGAGGCTCCTGTACAGTAGCCTGGAAAGCCTTCTTACAGAAGTGGCAGAGGTAAGAGCAAGTTTTCAGAATAATTTAAAAGCACATGTGTTGTAACAGACAATGTTTTGGTCTAGATGGCTATCAGAGTCTTGATTGTTAGACTTGCACACCTATTTCAGATGTCTTGATCATCAACAGACTATCATAATCAATAATCTTGACATCTATTTTTATGCAATTATACAAGATTTTTATAAAATAGATACACCAACACTACTTTTTGTTTCTATAGCCCAACGAATAGAAGGAGAACTACTAAGGAAAATAAGATCAAAATTACATACTTGTATATTAAACATGTTAATAGTTTCTACTATGCTATAGAGTCAGATGAGAGATGATGCATCAAGCTTATAGACAGCACTTCTTATTACAGCACAGATGGTGCTTTGGCTTGGCATATCAAACCACATTAAAAATATTTCCCATATATATTGCCAACGGGTTAAAGAAACTTGAAATAATTCAAAGTAACTCAGTAGAAATTTGGACAGGGAGTACAGTTCAGGATTTAAGTATTCATAGTTCTATTTAGAGCAGCTGCACTGCATGTATTTCTTTTTAAACGAGTAATTTAAGTTACCGAAATTTAAATTGCAGACAGCACTTTTTTTATGACAGATTGCTGTGGATAGCACTTATTTTACTCATGGCTTTTAGTGAAATCTGAGGGAACCCACTGACAGCTCTAACCAATTAGTGAGAACTGATACATTTGACATAAAAACATTAAACGAAATGAAGCAAATAATATGCACGGTACTATAATAGCCCAAGAACAGCTCAGTAACTACCAAAGAAGTTGAAGGGAACATGGTTTTTACAGACGTCTTTTAAATCATGTGTTAGGACACTTAGTCCTTTTGACCAGGTGCTTTTTTGTTTCTGCACTCACTTTCAATTAAATAAACCACTTTCACAACCATTCTCCTGGCAAATTCTCAGAACAATCTCTGAATTCAGTCGAGTTGTATTAGAAAGTGAATGACTACTATACCTGGAAAATTAATGGGGTAGTTGCAGATGAAAAATTCAAACTCTTAGCCATATGGCTTTCAGGGTTATATTTTGACATAAAACTTTTGATGATAACAGTCTTTGCAGTTCCTTGCTCACCAATTAGTAGGACAGCCTAGACAAAGACAACATTGAAATAAGATGAAACACAAAAGGTGGGTGTCTTGACAGTCTCAGCAATTCCATTTAGCTTTTAAACTGAAATGAAACTAGAAAAGTTACGTAAAGTGAATTCTCAATAAGGGACATGCAGAAGCAAAATAGTTAATGTCTCATATTCTTTTGCAGGCCTCACAAGTTAGAAATATTTGCAGTTAATGGCCACATCAGTCAGCATAATTTAACTAACAAAGGAACGGATTATTCGTAAAGTTGATTATTTGAAAACGGACGTACGGTCTAGAGCCTCAATATCTGAAAGATTTCAATTGCTGTTGTTATTTACCATATTCTGCCTATCTGACACAGTTTTGGTGAAGAACAGGTTGCATAATCTAAAGATACATAAACTCTGTAATTGTGCCATGTGGGCAGAGCTCACAGCAGAGTCTGGCACTCTGCTGCCCCATGTGCTACCCCAGCTGCAACAGCTACATGAAAAAACCGTTTCTGTTCTGACCTGATCTCAGCTGTAATTGTGGTTATTTCCACTACAGAAAGGATGGGTGAGGGGAAGATAAAGTCTGGAAGCAGTGAGTATTCAAGAGTTTAAGCATATTTACATGAATCTAGCTCCTGGAATCACAATTTTATGTTAAAAAAAAAGTTGTTCTTTTTCAATAATATAATATTTCACTTCTAATTCAAAAACTTTGTCATGTGTACTGTCAGTGCTATTTAAATGTGAAATATAGAAAAAGTACCTTGCCCTGTTTTGCGATGGTTTCAATAAGGAAATCTGTTCTCACATTGTCGACATTAGGCACAAGAATGGAGCCATACTCTGGAGTGCTGCTACTGGGATATACATACTCTTCAACACGTGTATTCCAGTGCATCCATTTACCTAATAAGAAAGAAATTAAGTTAATGTTTTAGAAATACAAGGCATCATTGCTTCTTTTATTTTCCATTAAGTTAACTCATCTGTCAGTGCCTCTCTCTCACATACAATAATCCCACTCTGTAAATTCAGACCAAAATTATAGAATCATATAATCATAGAATATCTCAAGTTGGATCTAAGATGATTGCTCCTCTTTCCTACATAAATTACGATAAGGATAAGGCTTGTCTATTTTTGTTCACTTGACAATTCATCGGCACAAAGTCCATGCATCTTTCTGTAGCAATATATCCATATTCTGATTTCTCACAGGAAACAGGGAAAAAGCTTTATGCAACACCAAAAGTAAAGTGTAGCTGTAAAACAAACTTGCTAAGGAACACAAAAGAAGGTAAGCTACAAAAAAATTCTGAGTTAATTCTCTAAAAGCAGCACAATTTTAAAATTACTTTTCAGTTTTATTCCATACCACCCAGCTGGGTTACTAACCATCAGATGCCACATAATAATCAAACATGGTATCTTCCCTGCCTTCTGGGATACAGGGAAGATCAAGTTTTATTGTTGCATGGTTTCGAAGCCAGTACTCCATTTTGCATCGGTCTTCCAGTTCCAGTAATGCTCCTACACTCCACATAAGAGAGAAGATGTATAGCCTTTCCAAATATTTTGGAGTCAATTCCCCTCCTTGCTCCTGAAAGATTAAGTTAGGGTTTTATTTTCAACAGTCTTAAAATTCTACATTAGTAACACCAGGTTAAAAGCCTTCAGTCATATTCAAATTTACTGACGTCTTCATCAATGAACAGACTGAATCAATATCATGTAGAGCACAAAATACAGAAAAGCATCCTCTAAATATCACTTTTAATCACCCAGTATAGCATTTGATTTGTTTAACTTCTAGTTTATAATCTGATAATAATCCATGCAAAAAAACCTTAAGGAAAACTGCTGTCTGATGCATACTCCAGGTCAGTGCTTAACATCAAATCCAAATGTAAAAGAGTGCACATCCTAGCTATTATTTTCTGAAGAAAAAGAAGGTACTCCTTACTAACCTGCATCTTCATTTATATTCCAAGTCATCACAGAATCTCCTCTCTACAAAACCTCATGACTTAAAATTACCTCCATTAGATTAAGTAAATATTAAAAAATCCACACTACTTTACCTTAGGTGGGATAAGGCCCTGCAGCATATTAATGCTCTGCATAATCACAAAGGCTTCCAACATCTCAGTCTTGTATTGCAGACACTGAATGCTGAAGCGGTATAAGTCTGGGAACGATGAATAATACAGCTGACGTAGAATTTCAGCTTCTTGAAAGGAATGTCTTTTCAAAAATCCCTGTTACAAAGCATGGTGAGAAAATAAATTTAGTTTCCAATGCAAGTCTCAGTAAATTCAACTAGTAATTCAAAACGTCTAGCAAGCATGGAAAGTTGATTTCTTTTGGGGGAAGCTCAGATTCCCTACCTGTTGGGCAGGGTTTGGATAGCAGAAGGTCAAACTTTACCCAAATACGCGTAATTCCTATTGCATGTTAATGGTGGACACCGAAGAAAAAAAAAGCACTTTAATGTTTTCAACAGCACAAAAATAACTTTTTTCAAATATTTTTTAATCACAATGGCTGTTTAATGTATATAACAACTCTGCAAAGAAATATCGTATGTACTGAACACAAGTTTGATTTATTCTGCACAATGTCAGTTTCCAGCAGTGATACAAAGTACCCCAGAAACAGCTGGCAGTTAGAGAAAAAAAATTCGGACTTAAGGGGAGATGTCTGCTGGTGTGTGTAGTGTTTTATTGTGCATCTCAGTATCTGTAATGCTGCATAAACAAAACCTATTTAAAACTACCTATTTCTTAAGATCACAGAATATGATTTGTTCTTTGATGCCTTTAGCTCGAAGTAGTAACCTGCTGCTTTGAGTTACCCAGATTTCCCTCATCTGTGTGGCAGAATGCTTCTCATTTATATCCCATGAATTTATCTCCTACATAAAATACACTCATCAGCAAAAACATTTGCAGATTCTTCCCCAAAATTCAAACCAAAATTTGGCACAAATTGAAATCAAATAAATTCAATTTAAATATAAGAAAGAACTTCTTTTGTTGTTGTGAGGGTGGTCAAACACTGGAACAGGCTTCTCAGTAAGCTTCTGGAGTCTCAAAACTCAACAGGACACAGTCCTGAGCAACCTACACTAGTTGACCCTGCTTTGAGTCCATTTAGTTCTATCACAACAGTAAGCAAATCCTCTGGTGAGCAATGTGAGATTAACATCTACTCTGATCTGCTAGAATATGTAATTTATTGCACTACAAAATAGATTTAAAGGGAGATGTACTGAAAGAACTATCAATATATTTTATTTATGAAGTAAAACAAAACCAAACAAACAACAAATAAATGTTATTGGCTCAAATGATAAATAACTACAGGTTGCAATTTTATAGCCAAATTTGGGGTGGGGGGGAGAGGGAGGTTGGAAGGGTTGTTTCATGGCTGAAATGAAAGTAATTTGTTCTGTGTTACCCTAAAGAAAAAAAAATAAATCCATGTTCTTTTTTCCTTTTGACTGTTGTTACCACCAAAATAAATTAAAAGCGTAAGGTCATGGATTAAGTGAAACTACTTTCACGCAACGCTTACTTCAACACAACTAAATTCAGTCTGCGTATCACTTTAAAGTGAGGAGGTAAATCATGACTGATAAAGCAAAATAAAATGTTTTTCTTTGGTTTTGCTATCTTTGCAGCTGAACTTATACCTCAACTTAAACTGCAACACTCAAGTTGTCTGCAAATTAACCAATGCAAGGAGACAGAGCTGTGAGAACCTAACATCAGTAGGCCCTATGAAGTGCTGTAAGTACAGAGAGGAACAATACATGCAGAACCTCATGGGAGCAACTGTCCTAGATGCATAATTTACACTTACATTTTCCCAAGCATCCATATTCGTTTAAAAAAAAAAAGTAAAGCCTTGCAGTAATATACATAAGGCACTTGTGTTGACTGCATGTATTTGTGCTAGTAAAACTCCAATAATAGCCAAATTTTTAGGAAACTTATAAAACACCTTTTTTTTCCTAACAAGAATACAAACACTTTGGACTTGGCAAAGAAACTTATCAAATGAATTAGTGATGACTCTCAAGTGTTGCTAAGTAGCTGTGATTGAACAGCCAGCTCCATATGATTTAATATCATTCTAAAGGGAAAGGCTCTAGGCACTACTACAGAAATATGGTAACAACCCCCTGCAGCAACCCTTAGTCTTTCCCAAGCAGCAAACCTCCATAGGCAACAAGTCACAGTACATGGGTGCCTCCATCAGAGCAGGGAGTTTTTGATGACAATCACACTCCTTTTCCTCTTAATTGGTTAAGGTTAAGCTGGGTTCTGATGCCTCCTCTAGTGGATCTTGCTGCTCCTCACCTGTCCTCAGGGCACTATACCTGACCTGCCATTTCAGATCTGCAGGTGGAAAAGAAACCTCATTTCTGTTGCCAGAAATCACAAGTTCACAGTCTTCCTCATCTTGACAATTTCTGTTCACCAAAGCTCTAAATGCAGTCTCTCACTCACTCT